ATATATATACATGTAAGTATATTTACACTCATGTCTAGTGAAGGAATGTTGAAGTTTATTGAGAAAAAATACAGAAATAACCTGAAAATTCAGAGGTACATTGCACTTTTTTTTAGGTTTGTGTTAAGTATATACAATACATTCAATTACTCTTGTTCATATAATCCACATCAAGTTTTGCATGACTGAAGAATGTCAATATTGATATATTGTGAGTGGGTGGTTGGTGGTGGTGATGGTGACAAGTGGAGGAGAGGAAGAGACGTTTGTGGGTTTATACTTATCTCTCAATTACGAGATTAATTGGTTATGTTACTCTACCGTCGACAAATTTTGGAGAAGGTTCATTTTTTTTAAGTTGATGTAAGTAAAACACGTCAGCAGTAGGTGGTGTTCTCTCAAAGGAAGTTTTTTTCTTGAGAGATGAAGCTTTAGCATTACCAGCAGAAAGACAGGTTTTAGGATATATCGGCTGAGAAAATAATACTAGATAAAAATGTTCAATGTTACTTTTGGGGGGAAATTTTCTTAGATATATATCATTGGGGTTATCCCCTGAAAGAAGGCTGAGACACAACCTGTGAGACATTTTCTTTGGAGTATCCATTTTGGGGGAGAATTTTCGGAAAATAATTCAACATATATATTTTTTATTATTATTATTCTCAGGGAAACATCTACTTGGAGTTACTGTCTGAGATGAAGACTGGAGATTAATCAAAAAGATCTACCGTAAAAAGTTTCCTGAGAAACAGCTTTTGGTATTTTCCAAAGATACGTTTCTTACTCAACATCTCATGGAGACCCCATGGGAGATAATCTTCTGAGACACATCTAAGCGACATCTCAAAGAGACTTCTTAGAGAATCCAAGTCACCAGGTAAATACCTACAATAGACTTCTTTGGAGATAGTTCAGAGAGACATCCTCTTGCAACCACTAAGATATTCCTCCTCAAGACTACCCCCCCAGATCAACTCCTTTGAGAGACTCCTGAAGACCTGTAAAACTTGTTTTATGACCACCGCTTGAACCTTCTTATGGTCTTGTTTTCCTGGGTCTGTGAAACTGGGGTCAGAGGCGGAAGATAAAGAAGAGAGAAGAGGCCTAGCTACTGTAGAACAATCTGGACAACCACGATTTAAGTCTTGGTTACCTGTGTGTGTGTGTGTGTGTGTGTGACTTACTGGTTATAAAGAGAAGTTATTTATACACTATATACAACCTGACTAAATTACCAAAATATATCCAAAAGTGGGTAATTTTTTTCTTCAAGGTTTTGCTGTCAGCTTCAGCGATTCTGAATACCAAGTGATCATTACAACTTGTCGTGCGTTGAACAGCAAATCTCGTATTCACATGCAATCAATATTTTTTATTCCCTCTATATTAGGACATCATGTAAATAAATCAGCTACATACGTTTGTCTGTACATGGAAACCTCAGTCACAGGCTTCACAGTTAACATTCACCTACACTTCATTCCACTTGTGAAATGTACATAAACTAATATATATAACTGGAATGACAGAAAACATGCAGTGGGGTTCCCTTCTTGTACTAAAAAACAGTTCCATTTGAGGGACAGAAAATGGAATGCATGTACAGTGATTTCACCTTAACTGCTGTGGTTTTGCTACAGGGGCGTCCTTATTGAGCAATTCTTGGTGCTTCCCATGTTCTGTGAGATCACGTTAGAGGAGAAACTCAACCAAACAGCTAAAAGTCGTAATTTTTACTATTTGTATTCATAAGACAGGAACCAAACAAATCTAATTTAACATGGCCTCTAGTACCTTAATATCGCTAAGTTTAGGTTAGGTTAGCTTAGCTTTATTTTGGGTTGGGTTAGGTTAGGTTACGTTAGGTTAGGCTAGCTTCATATTGGGTTAAGTAAAGTTATGTTGGTTTGGTTAGGTAATATTAGAGCTAGAGTAAATTAGCTAGAGATTCTATGAAGTGTAGGTTAACTTAAGTTAGATTAAATTGGGTTAAGTTAGATTTAGTTGGCCCAAATCGTATGAAAAAAATATAGTTTAATGATTCTGTGTCGGCATCATACGTTTGGCAGCTTATCGAACCCTTAGCTTCCAGTGATGTCTTCATTAGTTTACTATACTGTTATCCTTTATCTAATAATAATAATATTATTATTAATGATAATAATAATAATAATAATAATAATAATAATAATAATAATAATAATATTATTAATGATAATAATAATAATAATAATAATAATAATAATAATAATAATAATAATAATAATAATAATAATAATAATAATAATAATAATAATAATAATAATAATATGCTGTAATTGACTCAACACAGTACCCCCACAAGAATCCGAGATGACATAATTCAATCGACCGAAATAATGTTGAAAACAATAAAAATCTGATAAATCATACTTTATAAACCTCCATCTAATAATTAACTAGACATTTTTAACATCACTTTACAGTAAAAACGGGTAAAATTTGGTCTTGGTTAAAGTCGCAGATATAAAATCAATAACTTTGTTTATCATGGAAAAGAAAATCAGTCGTCCGCTATGAGGTGGCAAGAGAAAATAAACATTGACTCGGCGCGTCAGTCAAATGGATCCTCAAACACTCACTCCTGAGACACTTCCGGGTTTCATATTATATCATTGCATTAACTAATCACACTTAAAAATATAACTTTATAAATAAAATAATTCTGATAATTTGCTGATGTGAGCTGCATCTAGTACTTGTGATGCTCATACCTTTACGTTAGGTAACAGTGAACATTATTACACTTATTATTGCTTTGTTTTCATTTGTTAAAAGCTAATGATGGTGATGTTATATTTTCACCGTAAGGTATTATATGTATCGGTGTATATCAGTAACTGTTATTACTATTATTATTATTATCCTATTGGCTATGATTATGCTTTATATTAACTATTTTACAAATCAATTAAATATAAAAGAAATAAGATAACTTTTTTTTACCTCCTGATAATGTTTTGATAACTTCATTGAGTAATAAAGCAATTTTATTTTTCATAAGGATTATTTTAAATTAAAATAATAATAATAATAATAATAATAATAATAATAATAATAATAATAATAATAATAATAATAATAATAATAATAATAATAATATAAACAGCTTTAGGACTTTTGGTGATTAGTCAATACACTGTTTACTTTAGTTATACGGCGTTTGATACGTCTTGTATATCCCGTGTATAGGGCCTTGTATATTCCTTGTATATCCCTTGGATATTCTTTGTATAGGGCGTCTATTTCCTTGTATAGGGCTTTGTATATTCTTTATATAAGGCCTTGTACATTCTTTATATAAGGCCTTGTATATTCCTTGTATATCCCTGTACATCCCTGATGTTATATGATATCACAAAAATTGTGACCAATTGCCAGGTTATTGATCTGACTTTGTGACTCATTTACACACAATTGCAGGGTCTCAACTGTTTCTCTTACTCTGACAACACAACATATATATATATATATATATATATATATATATATATATATATATATATATATATATATATATATATATATATATATATATATACATATATATATATATATATATATATATATATATATATATATATATATATATATATATATATATATATCGTTTATTCTCTCTTGATTTTTATTATTATTATTATTATTGTGTATTATTATATCCCCAGGCGCCGATGTGGGTCAGTGACCTGTGCCCGGGTAGCTTAATCCCCGTAAAAAAAAAGTAAATAAATAAATTCAGTTGCCTCTGAAGATGTCTTGAATAAAGACAAAAGCTAAGGTGCTCCATTGTTTCCCTTTTCTTGCGTGATTTTATCGAGATTTATCAAGTCGACGTTTTCATTGTGGATATACTGTATGTATGTGTATATGTATATATATATATATATATATATATATATATATATATATATATATATATATATATATATATATATATATATATATATATATATATCCCTTGAATAGGGCTTTCTATATTCGTTGTATATCCCTTATATATGGCTTTGTATATCCCTTGTATAGAGCCTTGTGTATTCCTTGTAGAGTCTACATGTATACCAGTCATTTACAGCTCCATACACTGGGTTACCTTCCTTAACAGCTGTACGAGTAATCCGCGGTACAGTATATTCCTTGCACTATCCACTGACTTATCATATACTTTTCTTGTTGATACTACTCATGTGCTCTGGTCATACTGGGGAATATTCCTTCAATCATTATTTGCAAATATATACTTTAAAAATCTTCCATCATCAATAGTTGCTTAAATATACAAATATACTGTAAATTCCTTCGATTAGCTGCTACAAGTACAATAGATTCCATTACTCAGCAGTTGTATATATACTGTACTGCCCAGCTGCACTACACGCTGAGTATAGCATCAGAATTATCATACACATAGGATATTACCCCAAATACATCTTCCAGTAGCTGCATACAAGTATATTCCATTTATCCACACTTGTATGCATCAATCTTTCAACGAGTGTATGTTTTGGTATATTTCTTCATAAGCAACTTTATCCAAGTATATAATAATCTTTCGTTAACAGATGTACACATAAGATATTCCTCGTATGAGTAGGTGTAATATCCCCAGTAACAGACGCATACAAAAGCTCTTCCCTCTCATCAGCTGTTGTTTACATTATACCATCCAAGTATAAACACCAGTCGCGGTATATATATAACCTAGATGGCAACATAGACTAGTGTTCATACATAACATAAGAGAATCAATGTCAGAAGATATATATATATATATATATATATATATATATATATATATATATATATATATATAAAGTGTCTCCTAGTGGCCGTGAATGAGGTGTTGTAGGCGGAATCAGATGGAAGGGCATCCGACACCCACATTCACACGACCGAAAATCCACACCTAAACTGGGACCTGTCGTTGCCGATACTGACCATATCTTTACAATCAAAAA